CTAACTCTCCTAAGTAGATTATTTAACACTCCTCAGTAAATTAATTCACACACACACACCCAAATAATGTTATACTCCTTAGTAAATTGTCTTACACTCCACACAAGGTGATCTCACACTCCCTTATAGAGGATCTCACAATCCATAGTTGATTATCACACAAGCCTTAGTAGATTGTCACCAACCTCTGGGCAGATGATTTAATACTCCCTAATAGATTATCACACACGTCCTAATAGATGTTCTCTCTCTTAACAGTAGATGATCACATACTGCACAGTAAATGTTCCCACACTCTTCATCATATAATATCACACTTCTCAGTAGATCATGTCAAACTCCTTAGTAGATGATCTCACAATCCTCAGTACGTGGTCTTTCAATCGTCAATAGATGATCACAAACTCCTCAATATGTTATCTCAATCTTCTCAGTAGATAATCTTATTATCTTCAGTAGATGGACTTGCACTCCTCTGTAGATGATCTCACTCTTCAAAGTAGATAATCACATACTGCATATTAAATGATCTCACACTCCTCCGTAGTTAAGTTGACACATATCAGTAGGTGATCTCACACTCGTCAGAAGATAATTTTACACTCCTAAGTAGGTGATCTCACACTCGTCAGAAGATAATTTTACACTCCTAAGTAGGTGATCTCACACTCGTCAGAAGATAGTCTCACACTCCTAAGTAGGTTATTTCACAATTCTCAGTGCATGGTCTTACACTCGTCAGCAGATGATCTCACACTCCTCAGTATGTTATCTCAAACTATCAGTAAATGATCCCTCGCCCATCAGTAGATGTTCTCTCACGCCATGGGTACATAATCTCATTCTCTTCGGTAGATTATCTCACACTCCTCTGATACTCCTAGGTAGATGATGTCACACTCCCCGATAGATGATGTCCCACTCCCCAATAGATGATGTCACACTCCCCGATAGATGATGTCACACTCCCCGATAGATGATGTCACACTCCCCATTAGATGATGTCACACTCCCCGATAGATGATGTCACACTCCCCGATAGATGATGTCCCACTCCCCGATAGATGATGTCACACTCCCCGATAGATGATGTCACACTCCCCGATAGATGATGTCACACTCCCCAATAGATGATGTCACACTCCCCGATAGATGATGTCCCACTCCCCAATAGATGATGTCACACTCCCCGATAGATGATGTCACACTCCCCGATAGATGATGTCACACTCCCCGATAGATGATGTCACACTCCCCGATAGATGATGTCCCACTCCCCGATAGATGATGTCACACTCCCCGATAGATGATGTCACACTCCCCGATAGATGATGTCACACTCCCCAATAGATGATGTCACACTCCCCGATAGATGATGTCCCACTCCCCAATAGATGATGTCACACTCCCCAATAGATGATGTCCCACTCCCCAATAGATGATGTCACACTCCCCAATAGATGATGTTACACTCCCCGATAGATGATGTCACACTCCCCGATAGATGATGTCACACTCCCCAATAGATGATGTCACACTCCCCGATAGATGATGTCCCACTCCCCAATAGATGATGTCACACTCCCCAATAGATGATGTCCCACTCCCCAATAGATGATGTCCCACTCCCCAATAGATGATGTCACACTCCCCAATAGATGATGTCACACTCCCCAATAGATGATGTTACACTCCCCGATAGATGATGTCACACTCCCCGATAGATGATGTCACACTCCCCGATAGATGATGTCACACTCCCCAATAGATGATGTCACACTCCCCGATAGATGATGTCACACTCCCCAATAGATGATGTCACACTCCCCGATAGATGATGTCACACTCCCCAATAGATGATGTCACACTCCCCGATAGATGATGTCCCACTCCCCAATAGATGATGTCTCACTCCCCAATAGATGATGTCTCACTCCCCAATAGATGATTTAACATTCTCCAGTAGATAATGTCGAACTCCTCTCTAGATAATATCAAACTTCTCAATAATTATCTCACACTCCAGTGTAGATGATCTCACTCTCCTCAGTAAATGATCACACACAGAACAATATATTCTCACACTCCTAAATAAATGATTTCACACTTCTCAGTAACTTATATTAAATATTTCCTAACGAGATAATATTTTATTTCATTTTATCGCAAATAACTTGTAATTATGCTCCCATCGCCATCCCACTTAACAAATATCACTACCAGAAACCCAACACTCCCTCCTACTCCATAATATTTCTACCGCGGTCGTCGAGGGACGATCGCGAGAAATTTCTCGCTTGCACTTACATCGTTAACGGACTACTCGCAGTTTTCAACACTAACTATTTAATAATATCATCACAGGTATGACTAAATGGGGTGGTCTTTAATCTATCATGTTTAAAAAAAATACACAAGTCGTCCTTAGAGCGTGAGAGTTAACAAAAACATACTTAAAAGTCTATATACGTGTTTGTACATTTGACTTCGGCGAAACTGACACCGGGTAGATAGCGACTGGCTGCAGTGTCGTGTAAATTATCGCAAATATTTATTGTGACGGGATAAACACAAGACCACCCGTGTTACATTGCACTATACATTGTATATACAATATCCCGATGATAAATGTTTTAAACCTTTATACACCAGTCCGAGTCATCCTGACTATAAGAGGAAATTTACATGCTACATGTATATCCAATTTGTTTATAAATTTTGATTGTTATGCTTATTTCACGATAACATTTGACATCTAAAAGATCTAAAGCTAGCAATTTAATAGGTCTACCTGCAGAATCATGTATACCCCAGTTATTCGCCCACATTAATAAGCTATTATCTCCTCATACATAATTCTTCTTCTAGCAAACGTTTAATATCATTTGTTCAAATTCTAGTCTAGTTTTTAACCATTTACTAACATCAGCCAACATCAATTTAAACAGAATTGTACGCTGTAAGTTTTATTCGATTAAACAATGTGCAGTGTCTGATTTGTTCAACACCTGTGAATAATGTCTGCGTCTATTAAGTACGATTGTAGGAGCGGTCCGGACATAGCATCACTGATGAGTCCTGGAAGGATGAAACAGTTGTTTTATGCAGTTTAATTCAATATTTGTCTCTACTTTGTTTAATCTTACGTATTTTCATATACTTCTACAAAATCTTTTTAATTAGATCAAAATTTGATTATATAAGAATGAAAATGAATATCAACGTCATAATGAGAAAATGATTTCCTGGCTAATTAGTAACATGTGTCTCGTCCCAGGAAGTAACTTACAGATTCTTTGTAATATTAGGATGAATGTCTGTCATAGCGAACGGTATGAAAACCTTGGAGCAGTGCAGTAACACGGGATACTCCCACGCGATAACCTTTTACGGGAGAGGACTGGTCGATATGGTTTTCTAACCAGCCGGACAGGTCACTTCAATCATAGATTAACTGCCGATAACAATCCTGCGTCATTATCGTCTCTTAGTGTCTGTCGGTAAAATGACTTTGATTAAACTAGCATGAAGATTTTTTGGATATGAAAGCCGTTCTTTTCCTATATACAACTTCCAGTATGTGTAAAGTACACTAACAAGCCATACTAATATATCTCTATCTATAAATGGTTGTTTAAATTGTTTTTGTTTTGAGATATAATCAACATCTGAAAGAGAAAACGCTGACGTCAGTTAGGGTTTTAACATATAGCAGATAATTACGATACTTTTACAACAGAATGAAATAGAAACGCCGACGCACTGCTTTTTATCTGTCATAAATATCTCTCCTTGTCCTAACAGGTCTGCTTTGTTGGTTTCTTTTTAACTTATTATGATAATAAACTAAATCGAACATTTATATTTCATTTTTCCTGTAATTTTAATATTGTTTACGGTATTTCAGATACAATCTCTAGGTTGTATTCTTGTTTGTGGACGTCACTGTGTTGAGTCCCCTGTTTCCGCTGTATAATTAGTTCTAGGTATATACTGTATAAACTATTGTCGAAATTATACAGTGACATTTACGGGAGATGCCTGTCCGTGTTTTCTTATGATTCCGGGGACAGAATTATAAGTTCTGACTTGTTGGAATAGCAATTCAAATGTAGCAAAAGGGAGACAATCAAATGTATTTCTGTGACTGAGTTTTCTGGTAAGGAAAATAAACAAGAAAAATAAACAACCCTACATGTGATAATTAAGAATAATTTCAGATGCTACATTTTTGGTTTTTTTTTTTTTAAGAATCGTTTAGCTTCGTTTTTTATCTTCTGTCAATAATAACCATGCTACACCGACACAGATTCATTTCCCGTAACAGTCTGTAGCCAATTCGCTCCTTCTAAAATGGACAAGTTTTTTTTTAACGGGATGTATTCGAACTACTGGCTAAAAGTTTTCGATAAGGGGGAACTGACCTAGTAAATAAGGATATTCTACCCCTAAGTGTGTACTGTGTTCTCCTTGTCGGATCTAAACACCGATTCCCAGTTTATAATTAATAATATGCTTCAGTTACGAATATTCAAAGTTCTTTTATTTGTGTCTGTCTTTTTATTATTTTCTTATGAGCTAGTTGTTACAATGTGTTTGTATTTCTAATTAGATACTACACAGTTCTTAGAACACAGCCAATAGAAAATTTAAACGTGATGCTTGGTGACGACACGGTCATATGCATCAAACAAATGACCAGTGTGGAGCGTCTTAGCATTGGCGTAAGTAGATACGAGGTAAGGAATCGACCAACCTTTTTCACACTAAGGGCGAAAATAGTGTGACGAAATGGTAAACAGATTGCCGACCAAAACATGTACCAGATAGTAACAATGTACTGTAGTCAATTCGGCCACGATTAAAAAGAATACCAAACAAGATATAAGATAAAATAATGATAAGAAATTCGTTGCAATCCTTTTTTTTTTATCTTATCTTTGTATGTGACATGCATATATAAGATACAAGATTATAAGTAACTGAATATAAAAGAAGCTATGTCACAGAGGAAAATTAAAACGGTCCAACACTCGCCGATCTCGATATTTCTCAAAACACATGCATTAACCCTTTTCGTCATTGCAGCACGTGCTCACGCTGATCAGATATATCAAGCAGATGACAAACGGTAAGTACAAAAAGACTGTAATAATCATGATTTGTAAATTTAAAATAGGTCAATAAATGTTTTAGAATACAACCATATGTTGTATGTATGTGTCACTTATATTTGAGAGAGAAATGAACCAGTTGAGATAAATGAGAAAAAAGTAAGATATCAAAAATGGTTGCCATATTGTCATTACATGTTTTGAGAACACAATTATCAGAATGTCGTTGCTCTGAAATCTGGCAAAGCTAACATCCAACCATACTTCACGTACAGAAATGTCCTTGTTTTTCCTACAGTCACTCCAAGCCCATTGCGTCCAACTTTTTTAATTACAAAAATACACTGCTATAACTGAATGTAGCTGACCATGTTTATGTTCTCTGCCTCCTCTTACAACTACATGTATGGTTCAACTGAGCACATAGAAGCTTGAGATATAAACATTATCTACAACGCTAAGCTACGAGAGCTTTTCACGATTTCCCAAATATCGTGAATAACCCCTTTTATTAATTATATATAGATTCGATTCCGTTGAAAACCAGAGAGCAAGTGAAACGAGAGCATACTGCGTTTGATCCACATTCTGAATGGAATAATTTAATTAGGTCTATCTTTTTAAAAGAATTAGCAATTTTTTTAATCAAACGAAATAAAGTCCCTTCAATCTTAATGTTAAATGAACACTTCACGTTTTACATGTTAGGTTTGTTATTGTACCCAGAGGAAAGGTACCCAAAAACTGTATCCTTGTCTGTAGACATCATTACATTTTCTGAATACAGAAAGAATCAGGCTTGGAGGAAGCCCTACTTCACCATTATCCAATCTTTCCGAAAACTGGGCAATCATGCTTCAGTATTTCAATTATTAAGAATGCCTATTGAATTGTGGACCTCCCTCGTTTCTATTGTATTCCTGAACTTCATAAAAAATCTATATAAACAACGTTTTAATGCTGGCTCGTCTGCTTGCACCAAACTTTTATCAAACCTTCTTACATTTATTTTATAAATATCAAACTCTAAAAGAGCTTTTGACAAATCCTCTACAAAAACACTTCTTCTATAAGAATATTTGTATTTTCCACTCTGTATACTTTAAATATAGTATATAGATATAAATAAGTTATATGATAAGCGTGGTGGCTTTAATTTCCCTGTTGTAAATTTTCATATCTGGATAGCAACATACCTGCGTCCCCAACCTATGATGCTCAATGGCTTGCTACAAATGTATCAATATTATAATTTTGCGGCAAGATGTCAGCGACTGACAGATAAACTCCTAACACAAGGTTTCGGGAGAAGCAGGTTGATGAGGATTATGGTGGAGTTTTTCAGACGGCATACTGATCACATTGTGAAATATTGTATTCCTTGTGCGATATAGAGTTCGGGGTGTTTGATGCTCGTCAGTATGTCTAGTGGTCCTGTTGTCGCTAACATCACTAGTCAGTAAAATTGTAAATGAAATTAAAAATTGGTTAGAAACAAGGGCATATTATTCACAACGGAAGGGTTTAAACAGAGATACGGAGAAATAGTTGGAAATAAAAGTTAGATACTCCAAGGATTAGTGTCTCTTAACTAAATACCAGCACAAATGCTTCTAATCAAATTTTACTAACACGTGTTATATTTCATAGACATTCATCTCCAGATGACTCAGCGCTTGACTATGTTTCCCTGATGGACAGACTGGAGCGACAGGAAGAATCCATTCGACAACTGCAGGCAGCAGTAGCAGAAAAAGCAGAGCGTATAGAAAGACTAGAAAATAGATTGCAGGATAACAAAACCGATATTGAATTCCGACACCGTCAAGATCTTCCTGCTACAACTGTTACGGATCATCTACAACCGTTGTCGCATTTCCCTCCAAATCGACATCAGGCTGGAAACGTCAAGAATGCTAACACAAAAACTTTCTTCACTGAAGATTATACAGGAGCGAGGATAGACAAGAGACAATCGACCAACACAAGTGTGTATTTCTCACCAAATTGCTTATAGAACAAAAACAAATCAAATCCAATTAAATTGAATCATCAATTGAAAATTAAATAAAAAAAACCGTATCAGTTGCGAGCAAAAGTCACAATGGTTACGAAACAAGCATTCATCTCAATGTTTCTTACTTTTCATATTATTATCCCCTTGCGGCGACCACGGAGGGGATATAGCGTTCTGTTCGTACGTCCATTATCCCCTTGCGGCGACCACGGAGGGAATATAGCGTTCTGTTCGTACGTCCATTATCCCCTTGCGGCGACCACGGAGGGGATATAGCGTTCTGTTCGTACGTCCGTACGTTCACTTTTTGTCCTCAACAGATTTTGATCAAGCTATACATATCGGGCGAGTATCGTATTGCTTTGGAAGAGTTTGTGTTTCATTGTGCTAGGGTCAGTATTAAGGTCACGGTTACTATTTATAGGAAATCTTTGTCATCGCCCTAGCAACTTGGGAGTGAGGGGAATTGTATCGTTTGCGATACCTTGTTATTTGCAGACGTCGCCTTCAGTGCATCCATGACGAATAGTGTAAGCGTCCACCAACATGAGACACTGGTATTTGGTCACGTGTTGTTGAATGAAGGTAACGGGTACAACGGTGCAGACGGTATCTTTATCGTTCCACGAGGCGGTGTCTACGTCTTCACGTGGTCCATTACTTCAGCAAAGAATAACGATGGTACCTATGATATCCATACCAGCTTGTTAATTAACGGATCGCCTGTTGGGGCAATAGATTCGGACGCAGATTCAAATAACTGGGGAAGCGCAACTGGTATTGTCGTAGTGGCTGTTGAAAATGGAGATCATGTATTCGTTCGCATGGCTACCGGCTCGTCGGGAAGTATCATAAGCCAAAGCGAGACAAAATCAACGTTTTCTGGATGGTTTTTGTTCTAACCTAGGATCGTGGTCTTTAAAATGACACCTTTGGTAAAGATTGGATTGCGTGCCTTGTATAGTGCCAAATAAAGAAAGTGACAATGTGTATTGTTATTTTGTTGTTTATGATGACACTTAAAGTAACTTTTCGCAAGACTTTTGTCATTCAGATCAGTCGCCCTCCCAGAACGATTTTGATGCAAAAGCTCAAAATTCGAAGCCGATATTTCCTGAAAGTACAAGAAATTTCGTGACGTTATCTTGGACAGATTTAGAACTATGTCATGAAAACAAGATGAAAGATTATGTCGTTTGATTATCATTTCTTTTGTTATAACTAGAGTGAAAATTAGGGGAAATAAAAACATCAGAACAAGCGATACATATCCTGTTCTGTGTAGTTGTTTTGAGCTGTTTGGAGATTTTCTCTTCGGTACCGGAGAAATATGACGGACAAAAATCTTCATTTGCTAAGCCGGTAGGTCGTACGAACAGTGCCAACTGTCTTCATTATAGGATTGTAAAGGTGGAATAAACTTTGGATCTTTATATCTTCTAATGTTTTAAAAGTTTCAGAATTACTTTAAATAAAACGTTTAATTCTCTAAGTGAAAACAATAATACCGCTGGCTAAACAATCAGTGGTTTCATTTGACCTTTGTTGGAATGTTATCTTACTCACTTCAAACATCAAAATGAGATACAAGTATCGAGCAAGCTTAATATATTACCCAGGAATAATATTCCTTCAGAGGAAAGGAACTTGCAAGAGACTTAAAACAAAACTAAGGCCAATCAGTAGAGCAAACCTACTACCTTTTGATATCAGCATCCCACTGACCAAGTCTCATGACCCTACTGTAGATTACTGAATGATTCAAAAGTCCCATATATGTAAAAGAAAAGAGAGCCTGAAGATATTAAAAACGAAGAAAAGGTTATTCGTTAGGACATCATGCCCATTCATCAAGCAGAAAGAGTTATATAAGGCCTGTATCTACCCCCGTATGATCCGCACTGTTTCTGATAGCGATTACGTCAGTTATACTGTCAATGAATGACACAGCAATATCGCCAACGACTCCTGGAGGCGTGTCCGAATAAGTAACACTACATCTAGACGAAGACTTGGAGGCTTCATTTAACGTAGACCTCCTGTGTTTGCCTAAAGTGCTTTCCTTGTAAGGATTAGTTATCTACATTTTTATTTTCATATTCTGTGCAAATCATAGCTTGCAGTATTATGGAGTTTTTAAAATATCTTTTGGTTGTAGAACTTGAATTTATTTCTGCTAGCAATTTGGAGCGTTAGAATAAAATTGAATGGTATAGATATGGCAAAATATGTTGCCGAACCATTAAAGTACAATAAATATTTACTTACTACAACAGAGAGTAGGTTGTCGCCATCTCACAGTTAGGTCCTTAATTAATTCTTAAAATCAATTAATGATATTGATTACTGGAAATGCAGGATTATCAGAATCGTCGAGTTTAACACAAAACATGATATCATTCATGGTCATGCCCGACCATATTTCACAAAGTTTATCACCTGGGTGTGTTCCATCTCGGTAGACTTTAGTGTTCACAGATAACGTTTTTTGTTCCTACCCTCTGTACTAGTGGGACACAGTTGTTTCGTTACACGGGTAAGTTAAGACGGTAGATATGTTCAAACTTTCCTCTCGCTACTGCCTCCCGTTACACTATCATCAATCGAATATTGAGAACGTTATGTCAAAAGCCTCACTAGGGATATATCTATTGATAAAACTGTCCACAGAGTTATCCCAACAGACTTGCGAAATGTCCACAACTTTTCACATATCACAAATATATGGTAATTACATGTCTTTTGATGGTCTGGTGTCTTTTAATTCCATAAGCTTTTGATTCTTACTCCTTGGTAACAGCATGATTCGGAAGGGAATTTTTACTGTACTCTGTGTGTCGGTTTAGATACGTGATTCCAAGCGTAACCCCCTTACTGTCGGATACTAGTTTTCGTTTCCGACAGACTGAACTGTCGTCAAACCACAGAACTGAGTTCACGTTTTTCTCAGTCTTCCTGTACTTATTACCAATCATAGGTATTAATCGTTGTACAATATCAGCAACAACTATTTATTTTTGATTTAATGTCATTTAAGACGACAAAGAGTTAAAAACATTAGATATGAATGACCCGTCTGCCGTCCGACAGGCCGTCCACGGACGAACACATGCGTTACGTACAAAAATGTATATACAGTTACATGTGGCAAAGCGAGTGGGCCACAGTGAGTTTGGTTTACTTATCATTTCCAAAATAAAAGTCCCTTATCGCTTCATATTTTCGAATAATGTGGAAAATTAGATCAATAATCAATTTTGTTTAATTTTCTCAGCCCTGAAAACCTTTATAATTCTTACCCGATCGGGAAGCCATCGATTTGATATTGATTTCTCTTTTTTTATTTTCTTGTGTGTACTAGTATTAACAATTTAGTCACATGAATAGATAAATACTGAACTGTTGGGTAACCAAGTTAAACAAAGGAAGCTCGAGTACAAAACATGAGCAAGGTGGCATCTAACAAATAATGGTAACAAAGTCTAAATTCAAGATGGCCGAAATACTATCTAATAAATAACATAACGAAGTCTAAATTCAAGATGGCCGAAATGCTATCTATCAAATAACGATAAAGAAGTATAAATTCAAGATGTCCGAATTACCATCTAACAAATAACGGTAACAAAGTCTAAATTCAAGATGGCCGAAATACTATCTAATAAATAACGATAAAGAAGTATAAATTCATGATGGCCGAATTGCCATCTAACAAATAACGGTAACAAAGTCTAAATTCAAGATGGCCGAAATACAATCTAATAAATAACATAACGAAGTCTAAATTCAAGATGGCCGAAATACTATCTAACAAATAACGATAAAGAAGTATAAATTCAAGATGGCCGAATTACCATCTAACAAATAACGGTAACAAAGTCTAAATTCAAAATGGCCGAAATACTATCTAACAAATAACGATAACGAAGTCTAAATTCAAAATGGCCGCCTTATGCACATACAAATATACAAACTAAAGACATACAAGAGACATATGTATCCAGGGCATCTTTAGAAAAAGTTAAAAAAAAAAAACAAAAAACCTTCATGCCTCGAAACGGTCATATGCACACCTGTCTGCCATTCCATATTTCCAATCCGTTTGGAATTAGTGATACCAAATTGACAAAGACGGCCATTTATTGGCTAATTGTTTGTCTGGCTTTTACCAATGAACCAACATTTGAAAGATTGGAAAGAACAATTGCAATATTTAACGATCACATCAAAAGCCCAGGTGGCTGCTTTTTGCCATATTTCTTCTGTGATCATTCACACAATAAATTTATACCAAAACAGGGTCGAAAGGGAGCCCGAAAAACAGTTTGGAAAAAAATCCTTTTCTTTATCCTTTTTATGTCGGGAGGGAATAACAATTTTAAGTGTTTAAAGATAAAATTCAAGTTGGCCTTATTTTGGGTAATATTCCCACACCGGTCGTAAACAGAAAACTGACAATTAGTTACAAAGTTTAACCTACAAGCGAAATTGTAAGAAAGATTCTTGTAAACCATACTTCTTCCACAGAAGTAGCGCATATAAAAAATGGTGAAAGAACCCTTGGACAAACGGACACTTGTATAAACTGAGATTCACAGGCTGTCCATATCACTGGGACATATAATATATCAGAAATAATCAACAAGAATGTTACATCATTTGTCATTTCCTCTACTTATATTCCATATTGTATTGAGAGGTGAATCATATGGTAACGTCAGTATAGCAGGGAAAAACAACAATTTAAAATCTTCATTTACAGTGGAACATAACAAAGAAAAAAAAAGAGTCTGCTATTTTTTATATCAAGAACTTGTTAACCACGTCAGTAAATTTTCCTTTGTATAACTGATAACAGAATGGAAACTACCAGGGAGCAAGGGGAACATAGGAAAACTGAGAAAAATATGTTTAGTACTTCTCACTAAATATTATTTCACAATTCATTTTCATATTCAAAATCCAAAATGGCGGCCTTTCAGCCATTATGATTTCTGAGCTGTCTCAAAATCGAAATGACACTACTAAGGGCCAAGTAAAAACCTAAAGAAGTAGGTTTAGAAAAATCCTTCTTGTAACTCTCAAGAAATAGCTGTTATAAGCTTTCATTGTCAAATGGATTAGGATGGGCATCTGTTGGCCACTCCCCCCCCCCCCCCCAGTCTCAATATTGTTACCATGGGAACCTTCATAACATGAAATTTGAGAAAGATTCATATTGTCCATGTTCTTCACCAGAAATAGCACAAAGAATAGTTTAAGTATGGACTGCAGATGGATGGACCACGGAAGCTGGACATTTTCAACATATCTTTGGCTAAAAAACAGTATTGACAACTGAACCAATACATAAACAAATATCTTTTATTCATTGCACACCAATACAAGTGTTAAAATGGACTGTTTCATTTACATGAATAGTTACCAGTGCAGAATATCAGTTGACTAGTATTACATAGTAAATGGGAAAATATTACTACTCTTTCGGCTGTATACTTCAACCAAACATTTTGCATATATGTGCATTGACAGTGCTGTCAATGGCTTCCTCCACATGCCTACATGGAAATCGATGTCAGCTGTTTCAAATATCTAATGCACTTTTTCCTTTCATTCAATATTTTACTGTGAAAGGTTTTCTTCCTTTTTACTTCTTTCATGGTTCATATTTATGCAGTTTTATGAATCAAAAGGGTTGTATTTACTATAAAAGTCACAAAATGGACAATTATAATTTCTCTATCAAGCTTATTTTCACTGTATCAATTTTCATGACTTTGTGTCATTCTCTCTAAGATGAAAACTTTTACAGTAATAAGTGAATTTTGTGACAAAGAAAATTTGACTTCAAAGATTATATTAACTCTAATTTTAAGCAAATCCTGTCAGTAAAATTCTGATC